CTGCTGCCGGTCAGGAAGTCTCCGACTGGGCTGCTGCCGCCGCTGTCGCTGCTGCGGCGGGGGCCGCGGGACTCCAGCATCACCTCGAATATGGTACGGATACCCACATCGATGAGGATAGCTTTGCAGATGCAAGTTTTGGTGCTGGAATGGGACCGCAGCGGCATATGCGCGGACCGGGGTCTGCCTCTATGAGTGAACATGGCCAGCCTTCCGGTGGACTGACCAGGGTGCCAACGAAGAAACGGAAGAGAAATGAGGATGCGCTGGATCCGGCGTTGACTGCGGGAGCTGCTGTCGGCCTTGCAGGCACTCACCACCCTCACCACCAACAGCAGCAGCATCATCACCAGCAGGCGCATCACTATGGCGGGGAGGGTCTGGGTGTCGCGCCGTCGCAGTCACTCTCCGAAGCTCGCGCTGTGGGTTTGCATTCCGCCGCTGCCTTGTTCCGCCAACCGTCGAGTAACAAGAAGTACACTCGTCCGCCGATGTCGAAGTTGTTTGCGTCGCTGGAGCTCTCGCCGGAGAACTTTTTGCATCTGCAGGCGGCGGCTAAGGCATATATGCTGGATGATCGCCACCCGGAGCGGCGCGACTGTGTTGGTCAGCGTGGAAAGGGAGACACGGAGATGGTTAAATTGCGGTTGTGGAACTGCGTGCGCCACTTTCTTGAGGTCGAAGGCCATGGTGAGCGCTTCTTTGGCGAAAATGTTGTCAACGAGGGCATGGGACCCAGGACATACATCTGGCCCCGAGACCAGCAGAAGATCATCTCCTTGGTTATTCCTTTGCTGCGCCGAATGGTCACCAACGAGCGCCAGCGGCAGTATGCAGTGGAGACTAGAAAAGGGGGTGGCACCGAAGAGCGACGGAGACGCAAGACAGAAGACAGTCTGCAGAATCTGAACGCGACCACACCGACAGATGATCAACTCCACATGCATTCGCACCACCATATTCCGGACGACTATGCTTCTGCACAGACCGGGTTGTCGGCACCACAACCGCAGCTCGGGACCGGGTCTCAGGTGGATCTGGGTCTCACGGATCTCTTGCTGGATGGGTACTCGACTGACTGGGATTCGTTCTCAAAGTCATATGACATGTACAATCATAATTATGAGCTTGACAACCTGTGGTACATCTCGGGTCTCCAGCAACCGGATTGGCGTGGACTGGTCGCTGCCATTGATAGCCACTTTCAGGTCATTCACAACGGCGGTTATGACTGTCCGTCGCCATGTGAGGATGAGAACCTCCATCGCATCCTGAATGCAGATGTCACCTCGGACCTGCGTTGGCGTGTTGGCGGGAACTCAGACCGGCCTGCCAGAAATGAATTGTACGTTCCCACCATAACGGTTAGCACATTGTGTACTATACTAACAACCCCGTAGTGCTAGTAGCATCACCCGTGATATCTCGCGGATCATCCGAGACAGCCTGGCGACCCAGCACAATGTCCATCAATCACCCCACAGCCAGGCACCCGTGCCCCAGCCACAGCCATTCCCTCCTCCTAATTTCCCACCTCTCCCCAGCGCCGTCTCTGGAAATGTCGGCTCTTCTCCGTCTCCTCCAACCAACGTCTCACTCCGAATTAACATTCTCCAAGACGGAAAACGCGCGCATCCCCGCTTCGACATCCCGGGAAGCCAGTGCACCGATCTTGAAACCCTCAAGCAGCTTATCTCCCGCAAATTCGCCGGCCAACTGCCAGGCCTCTCTTCAGAGACTAACATGGACTGGGTCTCTCAACTTAACTGGAAATTCAAGGTCTGGCTCCCAGATGGACTGGCCCCGGTGCAAAACGACAACGAGTGGGCAATGGCCCTCGTCTCAGCTAGCAATGTGGACTGGATGGATGGCGACCTACGAGTTCTGGTTGAATTAGACGGGACGGCGTCGGCATCTTGACGGAATTGGCGCTCATTGAATTATTTTCTGCGATATAACTTGTGTGTCATGGTTGTCGATTCTAGGTTGCTTTGATCTGCTTTGGTTGAGTTGGGTTTGCGTGGAGTTTTTTCGGAGACAAAGGCTATTGTCCTTCTTGCTTTTGAGTTCGTTATCATACCCTGGTGCTGGTGGCCCTTGCATTGATGATATGCATTGCATGTGATGATGAGATTATGAGACTTTTCAATTCTGATTCTGTTGAGATATGGTTGGTAGGGGACGGGGATGGTTGGTTGGATGGATGGATGGATGCTTGTCTGTGTATATGATTTCTTAGGTTGGTTACGTACTGGGCTGGACTGGGTGTTAAAGGGATGGTGGATGAGTTTATTGAAAGATAACTAATGGAAATATGAATGTGTAAGATATTTTATTTATTATCGTCGTTTGCCTGCTTATAGTTACGTAGTTCACGTAGTCGATCCCTGATGTAGTAGTGGTGGTAAATTACTAGCAAGTATATATTGCCTTCCCTGGGAATAAAAATGTAGTCACAATCAACTTAATAGTATCCTAAAATGATTATGATGAGTGCTAAACACTTACGGGACCTGTTCGTTCATATTGTATTGCCTCGAAGAAAGCTCAATAGTCACTTAAGTGCGGGTTAGTTGCTGCTAAGAAGTGTACCATAGTATAGTAGTTGCGTAGTGGAAGCAGGGAATACCTTTCCTTTTCCTTGGACATCCCTTTTTTTTTTTTTTTTTTTTTTTTTTCTTTTTTCGAGTGTAGAACAGGTAGTCTTCAAATAGTGGTGACTAGCAGTAATAGCTACTCTATCTGTGCTATATCCTAGTAGTATAGTTACTAGTGGTGGTATTTACTGAGCGGTAGTAACTACTTACTAGTGATTGGCATGCAGTATCAGTTAGAAGTCACAGGAGTAAGTTAGTAGTTAGATAGTAGACTCGAGCAGCGAAAAGAAGCCTGGTTCGGTTGCCCGTTAGTAGTATATTCTCACTATTAATTTTTATCTGATATCAGGGTAAGAATATATATTATTACTGGTCCATGGCTACAGATGCTCGAATAAGTTGTACTGGTATAAAAGTGCATGGATGTCATAGTGACTTCCTAACTACTAGTACTGTCCAAAAGGATGACGCTAGGTATATTCACGGATGCGGTAATTTGTCATTGATTAGCATTGATTCGTTACAAGGGCGACTTTGATATGCCTAAAGTCTAATGGTAAGGCTAGCTGCGGCTAATCACACCGGTATTGAATCATCGAGCATACAAGTGCACTCTGGTGATTCAAGCGCTGTCGTGATGCCAGATGTCAGGAGTCTGTTCCTGTCAGAAACCCAAGTAACTTCGGTGATATAGAGGTCCTGGGCTCTTGCAGCTCCCTTGGGTTGGTTCATTTCGTCATAAGTATACTGTCAGTCGCACCAGCAAGCTGACGGCCTGACCGGCACAAGGCCCCTAGAGTCAGCCTGCAGACGATAGGCGAGGAATGTGGATCCGCGAGCAACCTGGGCAATCGACAAGCGCGCCCTTGCTCCGCTGTAGCACATAAGGTTCCCTCAGCTGAACTCGCTCAAGCTCCGGCAGACTCCAACCGAGCCTTCTTGGCCCGGCGCTTCATTTCGCGCTTGGACAGCGGTTTCTCCGCCTCTTCGCCCGTTGGCTCTGACCCCACCGATGCTTTTCTCTTCAAGTTATCGCCCGTGGCCTCCTGGGACTTCTTCTGCAACGGTACGTTCGCTTTCGTCTTAGTCACTCCCCCTGCCACGATATCAATGATTCCTCGCCAACTGGTCCGCTTCAGCTTGGCCAAGGCGGTCACCTTCCGGGCCTCCTCGCAGATCGCCTCTTTGCCACGCTCCTGCGAAAGACCCCAAACGCATGCCAGGTTGATCACATCCCAGGGTGCCCGAACAGCCAGCGCTCGCTGCGCCTCGCTCGAAATGATGATTCCCCGGCCGCGCGTGGCTCGTATCAACGACATCGCATTCCCGATTAGGTTGCGGCGAGCGTCAAGTCCGCTCCCGGTGATTCCTGGTCCATAGCAGATCTCAAATCGAACCCCACGTGATATAGCAGCGGAAACCATCTTGAACTTGAAGTGGAAGGGCAGTCGTATGGAGAAATCCAGCGAGATGATATCACACTCGAGGTTGGTGCATGCATTTAGGAGCGCCTTTTCATTGGTGGGCCTTATTGCGACGAGATCATAAACCTGAGTCAGGCTGGCAAGTCGCTGGTTCTGCGCAGGGTCGGAGAGGGTCAGGTTCAGGCGAGTGAGGAGCGTCAGGCCCTTGGGAACATTCTTTGGCGCTGGTGGGGGAGTAGGATTTGAGGGGAGTTTTCCAGTAATAGATTGGGATAGGGCAACGGTGGTGTAACCAACTGGTCGTCAGGTCAGCGCTTCATGTGGCCGTGGAGGGGGAGGGACTGCTCGATGATCGGGTCTTGTGCCGAGGGGAGAAACATGACGCACGTTCTGCAAGAAAACTTAAGGTATTGGAGATCTCGGGATCATCCGAGGCATAGGGCAGATTGAGATCATAGAACATGATGCTGGCAGTTTGCGACGAGCTTAAAAAGCTCGAATGCGCGCCGAGAGTACGTTGAAGACGGGCAGCAGAAGCAAAAGGATAGCGACCGCGTGCAAAAGAACTGTCCGAGAACGGCAATCGAGAAATCGGCCGGGAATGCAGGTTATTCCGGGCCGGCAGGTGATCTAGCCTTCAACGAACGGGAGTCCCGTGACTGCAACGGCGGAGCGAAACGCTCTTACTAGCCTAAGCCCATTCTGATCTCCATCCCCAAAGACAGTCTATACTCGACCCTCACCTCTTCCCTCCTCCCTCCCCTTAATCGCTGGCTTCGGACGATAGCACGGCTGCCTTCTTGACATAGGCCCCCACCATACCTGGCCTCGCAGCTGCTGTTGTCTGTCCCCTCCATCGCAATTCTCCCCTCGCGACGACGCCTCTTCGCTCGCCGCCCTTCCTACCCCGCCGCTTTTTATCATCGATATACGTTTCATTGTGGGCTGACTCCGGATCTGCCTGCCAGCCGCCATCAACATGGCGCGCGTCTATGCCGATGTTAACGAACATATGCCCCGGTCCTACTGGGACTATGACAGTGTGAACATCTCCTGGGGTGTTTTGGAGAATTACGAGGTGGTCCGCAAGATCGGTAAGGCCAATACGACCGGCCGTCATCTACCCGCAAATACACCAAAAACGTCGTCCGGCCGCACGGCGAATGAATTGTGTACGTTTTGTGCTAACCACCATTTGGAACAGGCCGCGGAAAGTACTCCGAAGTGTTCGAGGGCATCAACGTTGTCAACTACCAGAAATGCGTCATTAAGGTACTGAAGCCGGTCAAGAAGAAGAAGATTAAGCGTGAAATCAAGATCCTTCAGAACCTGGCGGGTGGCCCCAATGTGGTCGCCTTGTTGGACGTGGTTCGCGACAGTCAGAGCAAGACGCCAAGCTTGGTGTTCGAATATGTCAACAACACGGATTTCCGGACTCTCTACCCGCGGTTCTCCGACTATGATGTCCGTTACTATGTTTTCGAGCTTCTGAAGGCCCTGGATTTCTGCCACAGCAAGGGTATCATGCACCGGGATGTGAAGCCTCACAATGTCATGATTGACCATGAGAAGCGCAAGGTAGGTCTCCGCTCAAATTTCCGCCGGCATTATGCTGATATGGATAGCTCCGCCTTATCGACTGGGGTCTTGCCGAATTCTACCACAAGGGCACGGAATACAACGTCCGCGTCGCTTCCCGTTACTTCAAGGGTCCCGAGCTTCTTGTTGATTTCCAAGAATACGACTACTCTCTGGACATGTGGTCCCTGGGAGCTATGTTTGCTTCCATGATCTTCCGCAAGGAGCCTTTCTTCCACGGTAACAGCAACTCCGACCAGTTGGTGAAGATCGCCAAGGTGCTTGGTACCGAGGAGCTGTTCGAGTACCTGGACAAATATGAGATTGAGCTGGACCCTCAATATGATGAGATCCTTTCTCGCTTTCCCCGGAAGCCTTGGCTCTCGTTTGTAAATGCCGAGAACCAGCGCTTCGTCAGCGATGAAGCGATTGACTTTTTGGACAAACTACTCCGCTATGACCATGCTGTATGAAATATCCCCCCTATTCAAGGAGGATCCACCTGCTGACGATTTCCAGGAACGCCTTACTGCCCAGGAGGCCATGGCTCATTCATACTTCGCCCCCGTGCGGGCGGCCGAGGCCCAGGCTGCCCGGAACAACACCACAACTGCCTAAGAGTTGAACGGTATGCTGATAGGACTATTTTCATACCCCTGCATCGGGATCCTCGCTGCAGCGAGCCATTTTTTCCAGTGTCGTTCTCCGATGTGATAACGAGATTTGATTCGGATGTTGAGTTAGTCTGTGTCTGGAATGGGATGCTGGATCTAATACTATAAAAACATCACAAAACATTGTGCCGCAAGGGCCGGGGGGAAGTTTGTCGTGGCATGAATGAAAGCGCCACGGGTGCGATGAGTTATGGCATACGGAGACGACGATGATGACAGATGACATACGCCTAATATATCTCGACTCAATCCTCTTGGCATACCCCGTGAGTGGAATCTATGAGACGGTGTTTAGAGTGGGAAGGACTTTCGCTCCCCTGTTTGAACCTGCGTAACCATATAACCTTTCCCCATACTCTGCGCCTTTCTCGTTTCCGTTTTTCCGCGTGACTAGTTGGTCTGGTGTTGATGGGATCTCGTTTTACATGTGTCTGCGTTGCATTTCAATCTATCGCGTTTGCCATTTTACTGGCGTTTTCTCCCATAATCTGCATGCCAAATTCCAGTTTGATACGTCATTGACATCGGCGTGAGGACTAGTTATCTTTGGTGCTCATCTGATCTTGATTCCGATTTCTCCATGGGTGGGTGTTGATGGACTAGGGCCAGCACTTTTGGGAGACCGGCCTGGGTTCGCGGAGTGCTGAAGGCTACATAGAGCAAAAGATGCCTTTCGACAGACTAGATGACGTATGCACAGGCTCTACCAAAGGCACTGTATGATGTGACTGGAGGAAAGACGTAGACCATTTGGGTAATCTTCTTGTCCGATATCAAATAAAGTAGTAGAGCGACGGTCTGGCCGTGCCCTCACGTGACCCGAGCATTGACTCAAACCGGCGCAGGGCGTGCAGGATTTCATCCGCGGAGGTGACTAGCAGATGAGTCAAAAAAAATAGAAGACGACATTGCGAATCCCCAATCGCTGTCCAACATAAAAACCGAGGGTAGTTCCAGTCCAATTTCTGACATCTGTCACTGTGCATAGGGGACTGACGAGCAGTTTACTCTAGTTCCGACTTAAGGCACACTGCGTTCTCCACTGTTTTGGGGGAGAAAGAGACCTCAGGCCCCGCACCCGGATGCTCTGATTCGTTCCGATCTTTTGCTCTGCGCCAGGAAATTTAATTGCCCGCATTCGCACAACGACCCAACCCCTCCCCCTCTTGCTCTCTCTATCGCCGTTTGAGTCACCGGTGGTCAAGATACTTATCCGTCGGTTCGTGGCGCGATCGGCGCCTTGGAGATTCCCTCCTCCCCTTCCTCTATATCGTCCATTTTCCAGAATGGCCCAGCCCTCTGCTCCCCAAAACCCGAGTACGTTTCTTGGTCGCCTTCCCACTACTCCTCCTCCTCCCTCCCCTCTTATCGTTCCATCCCACCCCGCAGGGGCTCAATGTGAATAACTGACTGACTGACCACCCGTTGCCTACTCTAGCTGGTGAGCCCAAGGCTCCCGTCGACGTTCCTCCCCAGGCCGACGACCAGTTGCGGAACCAGGATGTCAATGCTGCCGCTCAGCCCGCCGAGGGCCAGAAGGTGAAGAGCGAGAAGGAACGTATGTAACCATCCTCCGGACCATAGGACCATACTGTCCTGCCACCACCCGACATCCTGATGCAACAACAACATTCTGACAACTCGCTGGATATCTATAGTGGAGCGTGAACGTCGCAAGGCCGAGAAGGCGAAGAAGTTCGCCGAGAAGCAGGCCAAGGCCGCTGCTGCGAAGACTGCCGCCCCCAAGGCCGAGAAGAAGCCTAAGGTCGAGAAGGAGAAGACTACTGATGCGTACGACCCCAAGGTTATCGAGGCTGGCCGTTACGAATGGTGGGAGGAACGCGGCCTGTTCAAGCCCGAGTTCGGCTCGGACAACAAGGTCAAGCCTGAAGGTTACTTCGTCATTCCCATCCCTCCTCCCAATGTGACCGGTGCTCTGCACATGGGTCACGCCCTTACCAACGCCCTCCAAGACACCATGATCCGCTGGCAGCGCATGAAGGGCAAGACTACCCTGTGGCTGCCCGGTATGGACCACGCCGGTATCTCCACCCAGAGTGTCGTCGAGAAGATGCTCTGGAAGTTGGAGAAGAAGACCCGTCACGACCTGGGACGTGAGGCTTTCCTCGAGCGCGTGTGGGACTGGAAGAAGGAATACCATGCCAACATCAAGAACGCCCTTCGCAGAGTCGGTGGTTCCTTCGACTGGACCCGAGAGGCCTTCACCATGGACCCCAACCTGTCCGCCGCCGTCACGGAGACTTTCGTTCGCCTCCACGAGGAGGGCATCATCTACCGTGCCAACCGCCTGGTCAACTGGTGTGTGGCTCTGAACACCTCTCTGTCCAACCTTGAAGTTGAGAACAAGGAGGTTGAGGGTCGTACTCTCCTCGACGTGCCGGGCTACGACAAGAAGATCGAGTTCGGTGTCTTGACTCACTTCTGCTACGAGGTCGATGTCGATGGTAAGACCGAGCGTATCGAGATCGCCACCACTCGTCCCGAGACCATGATCGGTGACAGTGGTATTGCTGTCCACCCCGACGACAAGCGCTACGCCCACTTGGTCGGCAAGAACGCTCGCCACCCCTTCGTTGACCGCTTGATGCCCATCGTTGCTGACAAGGATGTCGACCCCGAGTTCGGTACTGGTGCCGTCAAGATCACCCCCGCCCACGATTTCAACGATTTCAACCGTGGAAAGGCCCACAACCTCGAGTTCATCTCTGTGCTGAACGACGATGGTACCTTCAACAGCAAGGGTGGTCCCTTCGCTGGCATGAAGCGCTTCGACGCCCGTTACAAGGTCATCGAGATGCTAAAGGAGAAGGGTCTGTACGTCAAGTGGGAGAACAATCCCATGAAGATTCCTCGCTGCGCCAAGTCCAACGATGTTATCGAACCCATCCTCAAGCCCCAGTGGTGGATGAAGATGGAGAGTCTCGCCAAGCCGGCTCTCGAGGCCGTTGAGAAGGGCGAGATTGTCATCAAGCCCGAGTCTGCTGAGAAGAGCTACTACCGCTGGATGACCAACATCAACGACTGGTGTTTGTCCCGTCAGCTCTGGTGGGGTCACCAGGCTCCCGCCTACTTCGTTCAGATCGAGGGTGAGGAGAACGATGACAGCGATGGCGAGCGCTGGGTCACTGGCCGCACCGAGCAGGCTGCCCGGGAGAAGGCTGAAGCCAAGTTCCCTGGCAAGAAGTTCAGCTTGGTCCGGGATCCTGATGTCCTTGATACCTGGTTCTCTTCTGGACTGTGGCCGTTCTCGACCCTGGGCTGGCCCAACAAGACCCACGACCTGGAGAACCTGTACCCCACTTCCGTCTTGGAGACTGGTTGGGATATTCTGTTCTTCTGGGTTGCCAGAATGATCATGCTTGGTATTAAGATGACCGGCCAGGTTCCCTTCCGGGAGGTGTACTGCCACTCTCTGATCCGTGATTCCGAGGGCCGCAAGATGTCTAAGTCTCTGGGTAACGTTGTTGACCCTCTGGATGTCATGGAGGGTATCCAGCTCCAGGAACTCCACGCCAAGCTGCTCACCGGTAACCTCGCCGAGAAGGAAGTTGCTACTGCTACCAAGTACCAGAAGAAGGCTTTCCCCAAGGGTATTCCCGAGTGTGGTGCTGATGCTCTGCGCTTCGCCTTGGTTTCTTACACTACTGGCGGTACGTTTCACCCACTAAACTCAAAGCAAAAGAAACTCTTGCTAACATCCATTATGTAGGTGGTGATATTGCGTTCGACGTCCAGGTCATTCACGGTTACCGCCGTTTCTGTAACAAGATCTACCAGGCCACCAAGTTCGTGCTTGGCAAGTTGGGCGACAACTTCAAGCCCAAGGCTACCCCTACCAAGACCGGCAAGGAGTCTCTGTCTGAGCGCTGGATTCTGCACAAGTTCAACCAGGCTGCCAAGGAGATGAACGAGACCCTGGAGCAGCGCGAGTTCTCCCAGTCTGCTCAGATCGTCTACCAGTACTGGTACAGCCAACTCTGTGATGTCTTCATCGAGAACTCCAAGTTCCTCCTGGCAGAGGACGTCCCCGCTGAGGTGCAGGAGTCTGCCAAGCAGACCCTCTACACTGCACTGGAGGGTGCTCTGACCCTCATTCACCCCATGATGCCCTTCGTCACCGAGGAACTCTGGCAACGTCTCCCCCGCCGTGAGGGCGATGCCACGATCTCGATCATGAAGGCCAAGTACCCCGAGTACACTCCCGAGTTCGATGACGTCGAGGCCGAGACTGCCTACGAGCTGATTCTCAACACCTCCAAGGCTGTCCGGTCCATCATGGCCCAGTATGAGATCAAGACCAAGGCCGATGTCGTCATCCAGACCTACGACGCCACCAGCTACAAGACCATCTCCGACGAGCTCACCAGCATCAAGTCGCTTGGTGGTAAGTTCCTGGGCGATCTCAGCGTGCTTGGCCCTGAGAACACCGTTCCCCCGTCGGGCTGCGTTGTGGCTCCTGTCAGCTCCCAGGCGGCCGTCTACCTCCGTGTGTCCAAGGAGGTGGCCCTTGAGCAGGAGCACAAGGCTAAGGCCAGTCTTGAGAAGGCTCGCGAGACCGTTGGTCGCCAGCAGAAGCTGATCAGCAGTGCTGGTTGGGAGAAGGCCAAGCCCGAGGTTCGCGAGGCCGAGCAGAAGAAGCTCCGCGATGCCGAGAGCGAGGCCGCTCGGTTGGAGGAGCAGATCCGCGAATTCGAGAAGCTGCGGTTGGAGTAGATGCTCTGAGTTGATGGGCTTTGAGTAGATATCAGTGATACACATACAATGGACTTAGACACCAAAATAACAGCTTTTCTTTTTGTTCATTTCGATGATATTGTATGTCTTGTATGTAGTGGCTGCACGTGACCCGACCACACTCCCTTATTTATTGGTAATGAATAGTAATGTCACATAACTTTCTTTCAGAGCACACATATTCCACTACTAATAACGAGTATATCTAAATAAGTAAATATGATAGAAATAGATGTATCCCTACTGGCAGGCAGGAGCATTGATGTTGGCGTGGAGACAATAAGCTTATCGATAAGCGATGCCAAGCCCCATCCGCCAAAAGTTTTTGCTCCGCCTTTTTTCATTTTCCGCAATGAACTCCAGCATTCTCAATCTCCTCCACTGCCCCCCAATCTCGTCCCATCCGCCAAGATGCTCCGAGAAGTGTACGTTGATACCATAATCTACTACTACTTTGAATACGGCTAATGGAATCTATCAAAACAGAAAACCCAAGAACGCGCGCACCGCGCGCATCCTTAAAGCCAAAGAGCCGCAACTTATCGAGCCCCCGAAACGGACTCTTCTCCTTCACGGATCGAAATGCCCTCAACCGCTGCACACGGTGCTGAAGACCTTCCACTCACTGACTCGGCCCAATTCGGTTTTATTCCACAAGAAGAATGCCAACATCCACCCGTTCGAGAGCGTTGAGAGCCTGGAGTTTTTGGCCGACAAGAACGAGTGCGGCATGGTCGTGTTCGGAAGCAGCAACAAGAAGCGCCCTAACTGCGTGACGCTGGCCCGGGTGTTCAACTCCAAGATCCTGGATATGTGTGAGCTGTTGTTGTTGCCGAATCAGGACCAGACGGCTGGGTTGGAGAGTCTGCAGATTGGTATTGGCATGCGGCCGATGCTGTTGTTCTCGGGCAGTGCTTGGGATGATGAGACGTCGACGGCGCATGTTATGCTGAAGAGCATGTTTGTGGATATGTTCAAGGGAGAGACGAGTGATAAGATTGATGTTGAGGGTTTGCAGTATGTGTTGATGATCGGCGCGGAGGAGGCCACGGACGGGCTGGCGCCTGTTGTGCACCTTCGCTGGTACAAGTTGCGGACGAAGCGCAGTGGGCATAAGTTGCCTCGTGTGGAGTTGGATGAGATTGGTCCTAAGTTTGACTTCAAGGTTGGACGTCTGCAAGAGGCGCCGAGGGAGGTCATGAAGGAGGCCATGAAGCAGGGTAAGAGGCCGAATGAGGAGATCAAGCTCAAGAAGAACATTGGGTTGGATTCGATCGGTGATAAGATCGGTCGCGTGCATCTGGGTAAGCAGGATCTTAGCGGTCTGCAGACTCGTAAGATGAAGGGTTTGAAGCGTCGTGCTGGTGTCGAGTCGGATGATGAGGAGGGTGATGCCGATATGATGGATGTGGATGAGATCTCGGAGGATGAGGGACGCAAGCGGACGAAGACGGCCTGATGTGCTTGACCACACTACAGTTTATTCATTTCTTTGATGCGCATACTGTCGTCTACTATTGTCTATCTACTATCTAGTATAGTCTACCTCTCTATCGGCGTTCCGGGGGTTTGGATTTCACTCTTGACTGAGGTCAAAGCAGCTCGCTCGGACCGGTATTGTTGATATGTGATGATGTTTTAGACATGCAAAAAGTTGTTACTGTTCAAAATATATGCTCAATAAATCTTCATCAACCTAACATGCCACTCATACTACAAACTACTCTCTCTTCCGGTGTGTCCACGTGACATGACGTTCGGCTCTCACATGCCGAGGATCTTTGGAGCTCGTCGCGGATCTGCTTCCCTTCCTTAAATGCCGACTTTCCTTTCCTTTCCCCCACCATCATTACTTGCCATGCTCCCCTGCCACTCCCTCCCTTATGAAGCAAGCAAGCAGTGCTCCTGGCGACTGCGGCTGCATACTCTCCCTGCTCTTGGAAGCTGTCCGGACGTGAAATAAACTCCCTCATCCTACTAACCTCCGCGCTCACTCACCGGATCCGTGCCGAGGTCCGACGAACCAAACAAGCAAGATCAAGATGGATGCTCTAATGGTGAGTTAGGAAGCCGGTTGTTCATTCCAACACAGCCAGACCTTAAAGCTTGAATCAACTTGAGATAAATATGATATTGACCGCAATACAGTCCCGTCTTGACTCACTAGTCACAAACCCCGATCTTGCGCCGCTCTTAGCTCTCGTCAAAGGTGTGCGCAATGGCGCCGTCTACGGTGCCAAAGTGCGGTTTCCGCATGCTTTAGTGTATGCATATCATATCATACTACCCTTGTTATTATAGCAGGTTATGGTATAGGTCAGAGCTAATCAGTTATGTGCTTTCTGTGCAGAATGATCTTCCTCTTCCGTTCCGGAACGTGAGTGCCCGCATTCCTCTGTCCCTCTTTCCCCCCCTCTCCATGGGTATTTCCTCCCAGTCAGCACGGTTCAAGACCACGCAAGCTAACAACAACGATGTTTCTTGATACAGAATTCGAGAAAAGGTCAAGCTCGTTCTTAAAGCTACCCGTCAACACGCTCGCAACCTAGCCACCTTCGCACTCATCTGGAAGGGCGTCATGCTCGCACTTCGCAACATAAATCCCACCACTGGCGGAAAGGAAGGCAGATACGATAGTTTCATGGCTGGATTGGTAGGAGGGTACGTGGTCTTTGGAAGACACAAGACGAGCATTACGCAACAGGTAGGAATCCCACGACGCCGGGGGCGATGATCAGAAGTTAACGGGAGTCCAGATCGTCATCTACGTCTTCGCGCGCGTTATGCTCGCAATGGCCAAACTGGCCGTCCGGCCCAACATGCACCCGCTGTCGTCGACGATTACTCCGGATGCGAGATCCAAGATGGAGAGTAATGCCTGGCCAGTATTCGCCAGTTTGACATGGGCCTTTGTCATGTATATTTTCCGGTGGCACCCAGATACCCTGATGTCGAGTTTGAGGAGCAGTATGGTGTATATGTACGTCCTCTTTACTGTTCTAGTGGCCTGCGAAAGGCCGTCGAAGTGGCTACATACTGACTCTTGCAGCTATGCCGACTCCGACCACTGGGATTCGTTCCGCAATTTCTTGATACACAACAAATAGAGGTGGTGTGGAGTGTATCCGTGCTAAGCCACTTGGGTTTCAATTTTTGGTTTGTTATACGTTCATTGGGTTGTCGCGTTTCACGGGGCGTACAGATTGGTGTCAAGGTTGGCATTGTTTTTTTCTTTCTTGTTCATGTCTATGCCTAGGGTATTCTTATTCAGAAACTCGAGCCCTCCCGCTGGCGGATAGGGAGTTGGTACTGATGGTGGTTGTGTGATGTGGTGTACATGATAAGATAGAGTGAGAGAGATAGGTAACGGTAGCTGTTGAGGTATCAGATTGTCATCCAGGTCATGATTCAAATACGAAATAAACTCGATCTACAATACAGTTTAGACATGCAATTCGGAGATGAGACAAACTGCACGCACGTGCATAAATCCTCCGACAGCTTGATGCATACCTCCTACTCCTACTTTAGATCATCATATCTTAAGCTTTCCTCAGAATAATCCTAAACTGCCCCCACCATATCCAAACACGCCCGACTCGGCCACGCATTCTCCGTCCCCAACATCCCGAAATACTCTACTACGCGCCATTGATCTCCTCGGACGGTGAGAGACTGTGCTCCTGTGTTACAGAACTACAAGATTAGCTTCTGTAGGTTCATAGACCTAAGTTATATATCCGTTGACTATATCACAATACCGGTAGTATACTTTGGATCCTAGGGTAGGAAAGGAGGTGGGGTATGATACTCACCCATAGCGACACAATGGGAGGCGTTGATCCGGCATCCGAAGTGATCATTGGAGAAGGATATTGCGCAGAGTGCGTAGACGTGTGGAAGGATGGCGGTTTTGGGGTGGTGGTGGTATGTTAGGGTGTTGTTCGTGTTGATGTTTGTATCTGGGGTGGTGTGTGGTGGTGATGATTGGGGGAAGTGCGACGCGAGGAGGATCTTGGCTGTGTGGTAGAATTGGAGGCCGACGACTGTTTGTATTTTAATTCGTAGGTTAATGATTGTTTTCAGCTGTTCGAATATGTGGAAGGAAAGCTAACTTGTAGCTCTCTAGGATGTGGAGTGGACTAAGAAAAGGGGGCGAAATGAATTTACCATGCCACGGACAAAGCAACCTAATCACCGGAAACGAGTCTCGGTCCTGCTCTTCATAGTAATACGGTTCAAACGTATCCGGCACATTAACCCTCCAGTCATCGATAAGCTCAATCAATTGAGCCCTCGGCAACAAACCCGGACACTCACGACCAAAGCAGTGATTGATCGCGTGAACTAGCAGCCACATCATCCTATTCGCCCAGTCAGCGTCTGTCTCGGGGTAGCTTTCATCCAGTGGCCAGCTAGATACAGCGATCTTGGTGCTGCAGCAGCCGAGAATGGCCATGCGGATATCAGCCCGCACGTAGGAGTAGAAGGTCGCTTGTAGCAGACCCCCAGTGCGGGTGGGTGCTTGCACGGAAGGGTCGAGATGTGCGAATGCTCCTGGGACTAGGTGGCATTGGCGGTCTATGTGGTATTCGTCGTATTGCTCGGACATACGGAGGATGGTGATGGTGGCGAGCACGGCTTCGTCCTGGACTGCTGAGCCTACGTCGTTGAGGATTGGGATGAGGAGATTGATGCATGTGGATTGGTATTTGTCTTCTTCGAATGACAGTTCAGTTCGCCCGGGGTTGAGGAGGCGGAGGATGTGCGCGGAGCAGGCCATGATGGCTGTGTGGAGGAGGGTGCATTGGAGCGACAGTCTGTGGTTTGCTGTTAGGTTTGTTTTCTGCGAGAGCAAAGGATGTGAGTTAATACCGAGGAACCGTATATGTATAATGGCGCTCAGGGCTGGTGACATCTAACTGTTACATTGTCAGGGCATGATCGTACTATTAGATGGTTGGTGTACCCAGGGTCCGATGTTCTGCACAAAGAAGTGTAATAGTTCGCCCTCTATGGTCGTTAGTCTCCGAGGCGCATGTCTGTAGAAGAGACCAGGCCTGGAGATTGGTGCAGTCGGCGAAACTGTGTACGGGTTTCGTGGGAAGGATGGACTCGATGCTGCTTCTCCAGACCCAGAGGCAGGATAGCGAATGATATTATGCGGTAGGGTTCGGTCGTTAGCGGGGAGAGCAAGCACCACCGATTCAGTAGGAGATAGAGACGTTGATGGCACTTGAGTGGCTTCTATCACCACCGGAGTAGATGCAGGGGGCTGAGTTGAGACTGAAACGTCCGTCTTATCATTTTGGGTGAATCCTTCTGCTTGAGCTACGAGAGTCGACAATTTGCTATGTCGAAAGGCGATGGTCCTAGACCGATGTTGAGCGTAGCGACAGGAGCGACTTGACTTCGAGCAGCGACCACAGACAGGTTGAACTCCATCGCCTGTTCGGGATCAGCTCTATAGACCTGGCATAATCTCCGAGCTCACTGGGCCCTTACATCGCACCTTGCGAGATTTTGCATGTCAGACTGCGTTGTCTGGGTCAGCATACATCCCAGCAGTCAAGAGACAATTACCAGGTCTTCTTGCGCATTTTCCAGCATTCGGGAGGCGGCAGAAGTGAGGATGGTGGAAAGACAAGCTCGGTCTTTTCTTCCTTTGCGGGGAAGTCTCAGACAGCCCTGGTTTGCTGCAATGTTCCCGATCAGGCAACTCGGCGCCGAGGGTGCAAGTATATCAGCTTCATCTGGCATCGAGCTGCGTGACAGAAGATTGAGGCAGGATACTGCTTGCTATTTGACTTCTGATATCAGCACATCATGTACAAAGAGATTATTGTCGTCTTTCGTATTCTTATCGTTCTCAAGGCTGTCCTCCCCCCCATATACACATATCTTCGTGACCCCAAAGGTCTGAAGCGCTTCCCTGGAGTGTCAGTCGCTCCCTTAACTAATCTCTGGGGAGTATGGAAGCAATATCTTTGTACACGTACCGTGGCAGTTCATAAAGCACACCTCAAATATGGCAGCATTGTTCGAGTCGGGCCAACCCACCTCTCCTTTTCAACGCCTGAAGCCATCCGCGACATCTACGGCCACGGAACACCAGCACTGAAAGATGATTTTTACCAGACATTCGACTCAACTCACCTCAACGTATCTGATGCTCAGGATAGAGATATCCATAATATCAAACGAAAGCGATTTGCCAATGCCTTCTCCCAGAAACGTATCGGTGAGCTCGAGCATGTGGTTCAAGACCACCTGCAGCGTGTCTTTCGCATACTGGACTCTTCCAAGGGGGAGGAAGTGGACATGAAGCAGATAATGATGCACCTCATGTACAACCTCATCTTTGACAATTTCTTCCACCACGACCCCCACTTCATAGAGCGAGGAAGCACTAGTGTCACTATCAAAACACCGTCCGTGTCCCCATACAAAGGCGAAATTCACCATCTGCTTAGTAGCGCCTTGCACATCTCCACCAGCCTCGGATGGGCACCAAAGGCCAGGGCCATGCTCAAGCATCTAACCTGCTGGCATCCAGGCTGGAAGCACGGTACCCAGCTTCAACACATCACCACGCACTTTGTGCGCGAACGAGTAAACATGGACATTGAGCGAGTGGACGCAGGTCTCCCGCCACTAGACGATCTTATGGCCACGCTCCTTTGGGACAGAAACCGCGAGCATCCTCTGTGTTTGGAGCTGGGTGAACTAGTGACAGAGGCCCAAAACCTCTTCAGTGCTGCGGGCGGCAACACCGAAATCGCTCTGACCAACATCATCTGGTACCTCGCCAACAACAAACACGTAGTCCGACATCTTCGTGCGGAACTTGCAGATGCACTTCCACCACACAATAATTCATCAAGCCCCATACCATATGACCTCGTCAAGAACCTTCCCTATCTCCGTGCCTGCATAGACGAAGGCCTACGTCTTCGTCCCTCCATCCCCGGTGGTCTTCCTCGCGTTGTCCCGAAGGGAGGTATGATGGTGTCTGGCGAGTGGTTAGAAGAAGGTACTACCGTATCTGTATCCACGTATACCGTCCACCGTGATCCGGATATCTTCGGTCTCGATCCCGAGCGGTATATCCCTGAGCGGTGGTTGCAGCCTGGGTCGCGTGATATGCAGCGCGGGTTCCTGGCTTTCTCACAGGGAGGAAGAGGATGCCTGGGACGGAATATTGCTTATTTTCAGATGCAGTTGGTTATTGCGGCGTTGGTCTGGAGGTATGATCTTACCTTAAGGGAGGAAGGATGGGAGTTGGAGACTATGGAGACGTTTAGTGCGCACACGGGGAGCTTGCCTGTTGTTGTCACGAGACGGGAGTAGGTTACGATGTTTTGGTAGAGGAAGTATCAGTAATAGTAATCGGGAAGATGTACTATCTGAAAATTGCGTTCTCATGTATGTAATTAATTTGGGGCATGCCAATGTTACTGCGAAGCCTTAATATTTGCATACGCAGAACATGGGAGGTATTTAACAGATCTTATCTCAAGTATCAATCACCATCCCTGGCGATGATCTGTATATGAAGCGATGGTATAAAAGCTCATACATGCCTCCTTGTCGTACCCCTCCCAGCTACCAAGCCTCCCTTGGGCTGGCTCAGTAACCCAGTTCTTATATACCTAGTGTAGACTATTGACAGAGTATGTACATGCGTCCAATTCTGCCTCATATTCGGCTTTCTCCCAGCTCCTGCTGGCAGCGCAGCTACTGCATTCATCCTATAGTTGGCTCGGGAATGCCAGCACACGGGGTCTCCAAAGTACCCATTGGCAGCAGACTCGTAACGGTCCCGTTGGCAGCAAACATCATCGCATACCCATCAGGATGATACGCAGGCCATCCCATTGCTGGGAGCGCATTGACCGGGTCCCGCATGAACGCAAGATAGAGATCTTGCCAGTGGGATGCTACGGCGGTCTCGAAAGGCGTAGCGGGTCCGCCATACTCCGAGTATGTGCCAAAGAGCAAGGGGAGTTCGGAGCTGTGGTAAGCTCCTTCCCAAGGTCGAGGGGAAATGTTACTGAAGTTAGCCCTATTGAAGTAGCGGAAGGAGAGGGATGAGGTGTTGTAGCGAAGACTATATTTTGAATAAATAATCAGTGTTGAGCCCAAAACGTGGGGTGGGTAAACGCACTGCCCATTGTAGTTTGCCGGACAGAGGTGGGTGGTCACGGTCTCTTCGTGGACGTAGGTCATGTTTGGACCTTGTGGCCCAGCCCAAGCAACCAAAGAGGCTTCTTCATTGGCATTGGTGCCAAAAATAGCGGGCTTGATGGCAGGACAATCAGCATAGAACGAGTATCAGGAACGGTAGCTGTGCTCACAAGCTTTGAGTAATTTCCTGCATTAGCCCTAGCAGTGTAGTCCTCAAATTTGGTCACATTGTCCACAATAGTTGTGAACTTCAGAGTAGGACCGGTCGAGTACAGGGTGTAGTTTTCGTAAAACTGAATGATGGAGTCTGCGCTAACGTTCCTCATGCAAGCCAATTCTGCTCGAGGGGAGAGATCGCCGCAGCCCATGTGCTCAGCCACAAAGGTGAAGTTCGTATGCTCGACGTCCACACTGGAACCGGTAGCAAAGACACTGCCTGAATGCATGATCAGGCCAGACACAATGGGATCATCGGGCCAGGCGTAGTTGTAATAGTCCGTGCTGGCTGCTCCAGAGCTCTGGCCCCAGAGGGTAATCTTGGATGGGTCTCCTCCAAATGCAGCAATGTTATCTCGAACCCATTCGACGGCAAATCTTTGGTCAAGAAGTCCAAAGTTAAGGTTCTGCTGGGTCTCAGCCAGGCCTGCAGCGTTGGGAAAGCCGAAGATGTTGACCCGATAGCTAGGATTGCAAGTGATCAGTTGCAATGCCGAGAATGAGAGACATTCGTTGCCAAGTAAAGAAAGGGGTTTAAGCAATGGACAAGAGAAATAGGACTCACTTGATGGCAACGACAATATGAGACTGCGTCCTTTGGATCCAATTAGTCGGATCAAAACCGTTCGTCAAAAGCCCTCCCTCGTAGAACCCTCCGCCGAACATCCAGATCAACACTGGCAATGGCTCATACGTCTCATTGACGGCATGCAATGGACTCCAAATATTGAGAGTCAGGCAATCCTCTGATGTCGGTCCATATGGTTGTAGCCAAGGAGAGTCAAACGTGTACACAGATGGGTCTGTCTTTGTGGTCAACGGATATTGCGGGCAAGAAGGCCCGATCTTCGTGGTATCAATGATTGCCTCTGCAGGCTTCGTCTGGGGAGGTGCAAATCGTAGCTCGTTCACAGGAGGTGCTGCAAAGGGAACCCCAAGGAACTGCGCAACATCCGGAGCTGAACCATTGATCATGCCATACAGCCGCCCAACGGTTGTATCGACAGTTAGACGAGATGCTGCCGCAGTCACTGCAGAAAGCTGAGCTGCAGCAACGAAGAAGCTGAAGGCTTTTACCCCCATCTTTAAGCTGCAGTTTCCACTGGTAGGTTCAATCGGGTCGACAGCAGAGAAGCAATGACCTCAACGCCACGTTGAAAGTGACATACAGCCATACTAATACTTCTAAGTTCTTGATAGCATGATGCTGATGGCTCACTCTTTTCCGAGGACGGCAAGCTAGTAGATTCTGCATTGGCCGCCAATGCGTCATTCGTGCCGTCAACTCCACATTTGCAGATGGACCAGACGCGGAGAATCCCCGAAAACTGGGGAAGGGACTTCCAGGGTCTCCCGCATTGGTCCGGAGGGTGGATTCTAACTGCTCGAAGGAACAGTTCGGTAGGATTACTCCGACAGACGAGCAGGCGGAGTTCAAGCCTATTTCGACTTAGCAGACACCTCGTGTCGCTTACACGCCTATCCGTATAGCCGATGCGCCAATACTCCGGTCGTTCGAGAGGCTATTTGGAGCCGGAAATGGTCATAGGGAAAAGAATTAAGCCGGTGTGAAGGATTCATCAAATTAGAATGCAAGCATGGTGCTCGTCAGTTGAACGTTGATTGTTGCAGTAAAGCAATCAGTTTCCCTGGCGGATTTCGTCTGCTTCGTTAGGGAGACGAGACATATGAACATGAATATTGTTTTGCTGACTAATAAATAGTGCATAACTATTATTGAATCGCTCTTTGGTCTTCGTTTCCTCACACTATCCCTCTATCAATCTATCACCCCTACGCAGTTCCCTTACTGCGAGTCAGTATCATGATTCAGCTTAAAAGAACACACTCCGAAGGTAATTTGCTGATGACATTGATGAGACTTATGATGCCGAGTTTGCTACTGTTCATTGATCCCATTTGGTCTTCTCTTCACTTCGTTTACTTTTCTATAAGTAGTCTCTTTACAGCAATGCTCCCTCGTCATAGACACAATGCCGAAAATGAGTGCCCTAGCCGACTGGAAGCAGAGCCAGACGCAGTAAGTTCAATTCTATCATGTGTGATTCAATTCTTCCTTACCACTTCTACCTAGACGACAGCTAGGCAATCAACAGTAGAAAGGAGTAACCTGCCCAAACCTTATCCTCAGGAGACAACCTACATATGTGTTTCTGGACTGACAGATTCCTCGAGTCTCAGCAAGATACCGGAAGCACGTCCAGGAGAAGTGATATATGTTACCAAAGGCAAAATTTTGGCTTGGGGAGGAACCGCTATTATTGAGCGATTGCGCTCTGGTGCCGCTATGAAGACACCTATTGCAAATCCACACAGCCCTCCTGAAGAAGAAGACCGCCGTCGTAATATGCGACTCGAGGCCAAGATTTATGCAATGATAGGAGAACATCCATGTGTTCCCAATTTCCTGATTTGGGACCAGAAACTTGCTGCCTCACTATGGAATATTTGGAAAATGGGAATCAAAAAGAATACATTCAACAGAACATGCCAGATATAACCCTTCAACCTCGACTCCAATGGTGTAAACAGGTTGCTAAAGCACTCAGTGTTCTCCATGCTCATCACATCATACACTGTGATCTTTCGCCAAGAAATTTCCTTCTCGACTCGAGCCTCAATGTCAAAATCGCTGACTTTGGTGGCGCTTCACTATGTGATTCAGGACCCTCAGCTACTCTGGCAACAAGATTTCGACCTCCTGGCTATGACTGGAATATCCCTCCGGTCTTTGGAGACGACGTTTTCGGTCTTGGGTCTCCCTTATTTCGTAACGGATGCACAATAAAGCCTGATGATATAACTTCATATTGGGCTAGGAAAATAAGGCATTCTATTCATACAAGTAATACAGTACTAAACCGTTCTCACTAGATCATACTACTAAAACCAATTATATACTATGCGCCAGCAAAGTGGAGCTGTCAACAACTCAAACGACGAACTGTCATACAATTGGCGTGGGGTTTACGCTAGAATCATACACTCAGTACTGAGCGACGAGAAGCCTGCAACGTGCATAAGCATTGTGTCTATGAGATCGCTCTACTTCTGATTACTCACTCGGCAAAGAAGGGATGAAAGATGGAGAGAGAATATCGGCAAACGGGAAACCCCAGCCAAGACACAGACAAACTGAACAAACAGCCGTGACTCAATCTTTTCGCCTTGCATCCATCTTCCCCATCCTATCTTCTCCTCGCCAAAATCTTTACAGGCCGATATTGGCGTTCCATTTCTTGGAGAAGAGGTCCCAATGGCGTTGGGTTTTTCTAGAGATTCGATTGGTGCCGATCGGCAGCCAATCGAAATGCTATCCACGTCCGGAACCGTGAGCGAGAACTATGGACCTGATCAATGCGGTTCGGAGAATATAGTATCCAATGCGCAAGATCTAGAAACTCCCCCACACGGACCTCAGTCCGATGAACCTGAGACTCGTGGACCTCGCAGTAATTGGAAGATCTTTGCAACTATGCTTGCCCTTTCGGTGTGTTTTTCTCTAGATTTTATTTCTTTAACACCCTGCTTATAAGATGTAGCTTGCGCTCTTTATTTCCGCACTTGATCAGACCATTGTGGCTACTGCTACACCTACAATCTCGTCCGATCTGCATTCAGCATCCGGTTATGTATGGATCGGAGGTGCCTATCTCCTCGCCAATGCCGCCAGTTCCAACATTTGGGCCAATCTGTCCGATATCTGGGGGCGAAAGCCTATCCTCCTCACAGCCGTTGCCCTATTCTTTATAGCATCAATCATCTGCGCCAAAGCCAATGGTATGCCCATGCTTATTACCGGCCGTGGCATACAAGGTATAGCTGGTGGTGGCCTCATCCAGCTGATCACAATCACCATTTCTGACTTGTTCAGCGTCAGGTACTGCTCACACCTCTTATTCTTTTCTGGTATGTAGCTGACATTAAGTTAGACTCCGCAGTCTGTTCCTCGGATTGATTGAGTTCATCTGGGCCATCGCTGGTGCTTTAGGGCCGATCGTAGGTGGGGCTTTCACCCAATCTGTTTCATGGAGGTGGATTTTCTGGATCAATCTTCCCGTCTGTGGAACGGCCTTTGTGCTGCTCTATGTGTTCCTGGACATACACAATCCAAAGACCCCCGTCCTGGCCGGAATCAAAGCCGTGGATTGGTGGGGGAGCTTCTCCATGCTCGCACTCATTATCCTACTTCTGCTAGGCCTGGACTTCGGAGGCGCCACATTCCCCTGGGGCTCTCCCAAGGTAATCTGCCTGATCGCCTTCGGCTGTCTGATGTCGTTCGCCTTCATCTACAGTGAGAAGAAGCTAGCCAAATACCCCCTCATGCCCCTTGGCGTATTCAGGAACCGGTCCAACGTCGCCTGCTTCCTACTCGACTTCACACATGGCTTTGTACGACCCTCCCCCAACATCCTCACATCAATCACACCACTAACCCTTCCCCCTCCCACCAGGTCTACCTCGGAGCAGAATACTACCTCCCCCTCTACTTCCAATCCGCCAAAGAATACACCCCATTCCGCTCCGGCGTCCTAATCCTCCCCTTCGTCCTAACCGAAGCAGCATTCAGTCTCTTCTCCGGCCTCCTCATCCACCGTACGGGCCGCTACCTCGAAATCATCTGGGCCGGCACTGCCATCGTAGTTCTCGGAGTAGGCCTCTTCACCAACTACAGCGCCACCTCCTCCCTCGGAAAAATCGTCGGCTACCAAATCACCGCCGGCATGGGCTGCGGAATGCTCTTCTTCCCGCCTCTCCTCGCCCTCCAAAGCAACATCACTCAGGCCAACACCGCCAGCGCAACCGCCACCTTCGGCTTCATCCGCAACGTCGCAATGGCCATGTCCGTAGTGCTCGGGGGCGTGGTGTTCCAGAACAGCATGGACATGCGACAAGACGGTCTCAAGGCTGCGGGGCTGTCCTCGTCGCTATTGGCTGAGTTCTCTGGCACGGAGGCGGCAGCTAATGTTGATGCCGTTCGCGCGGTTCAGGATCCAACTCAGCGACACGCTGTGGCGGATGCATATGCGTGGAGCCTTCGTAATATGTGGATTATGTATGCTTGTCTGGCTGCTTGTGGGTTCGTTGCTAGTGTGTTTATCACTCGTCAGCATCTTAGCGAGGAGCATGTGGAGACGAAGACCGGGTTGAAGGAGAAGCAACCCGTGTTGGAGCAGTAGGTCATTTCCTTGGGAAGGAATGCTATTGTGCTCTTGTGGCCTGTTATCGGGGACATTTTTCTACGTGATAGCGGTTATCGCATTAGAATGATTATCAAAAGTTCGTGATTTTTTTTCGGTCTTTATACCATGCAAGATACTGAGTTTTTTTTTTTTTTTTTTTTTTTTTTTTTTTTGTTTTTTTAGTTTTTTTTTTTTTTTTTTTTTTTTTTTTTTTTTTTTTTTTTTTTTTTTTTTTTTTTTTTTTTTTTTTTTTTTTAATAGGATACCGTGACAATTACTAGCAAACTGATGTACATACAAATCTTCCTAATAGCAATACACCCGAACACTGTCATATGAATCTTCTTCTCATATATTAATATAGTGTTTGCAATGGTGTTTTTTGCAGACATATCTTCGTCTAATTATTTACACAATATATACAAAACTAACGCCAATTATGGTATCATTAACCGAGCATCAACCATGCCATCAAGCCAATCCAACCCCCAGCAAAAGCAACTGTCACGATGCCCGCTCCCGCGCGGTCTCCCGTGGTGATCGTGCTTAAAATGGTCTTGTCATCGGAGCTGTCATCGGTTCCGGCCGACGGATTGCTGGTGCTGTTGCCTCCCGTGCTGGAAGTCAGCGGTGCAGACGAGGAGTTGAAGGCGATCATATTCGACGAGAAGACGCTGGTAACGCTCATCTGTTCCTCGAGACCGCTCCAGCCATCCCAGGTACTGTTCCACCATCGCACGCCGCAGGTGTTGTTACCATACCCGGTGCAGGTTGCGGCAGCGCCCTGGGCAGATCCTTGCAGCTTGGGCAGGATTCTGTTGTAGGTGGACGGAACCAGTAGGGCTGTGTAGGCGAGCCAGGCAGAAACGAGACCCTTGAAGATGATTTCGTTGTCGTTACACACCTCTGTCGGTTCACATAGAATCTCCGTTAGGATTTCACCGCCGTGGCTCGAAGGGAAGAACGTGTTCAACGTGCGATTCAGCAGGCCATCGACGGCGTTCATCCATTTGGTGCTGGTACCGTTGGTCTGTGACAGGTTAGGAATTAATCGTTTCTCGATGCTGTGGGCCGACCTACGTAATTGTACATGTACGCAGCTCCTCCAAGATAAGCGCCGTAGTTATAGCTCCACTGGTTATCTCCCTGGGTACTGCAGTCGTTTGTCGTCGATGTCGAGTCAGCGACGTTCCAGGTTGAGTTGCTCAACAGCGGCGTGGTGGTCGACCAGTCCCAGATGCGCTCTGCCCAGTCATAGTAGGTCTGGTTGCTAGTATAGCGCGCCAGCCGAGCTGACAGTTGAAACAGACCACCGTTGGAAATGGCGTTTTTCATGGTATAACCCGATTCGTAGGTGTAAATCTGCCACCGCATACCCCCGTCGCAGGTAGAATTATCCCAGCGGGCGACCTGGGTATTGAAGACACCCTGCGCCAGTGAAAGCCAGGAGTATCCATCGCTAGAGTCGGGAAAGTTCAGTTCGGCACCAGTCATAGCGGCCAAACCCCAGAACATTTGATCGTCGTTACCCTAGATGCCTTTATTAGTTGGGCAAGGGACAGTCATTAGGCGAGAAACTCACGATGTAGCTACTCCAGTTCGCCGGCATGTAATCGCAATCGCCCGACTGCCACTGCATGCCCTGGATGACTTCCTGGTTGTAGGTGGAATCCCCCGTGTAGTGATAGTATTGCATGAGCGTCATGAACATGGCGCCACCTTCCCACCAAGTATTGGGGATCTTGCCCGGAATTTCGCCAGATTCATTTCCTTTGTAATGCTTCATCATGCCGTAGGCGGCGGTTGATGCTGCATTCTTGACCGAATCTGTGAACGAGAGCGGTTAGGTTCATCTGCGTTTGGGTTGCGGGGATTGAGCCATCAACCCTATATCAGGCCCGATTAGCTACCACGGATTGTGAATCACATACCCTCGCTGCTGATATCAAGACTGATACCTTGGACCCCAAGTACCGCCAGGGCCAGAATCAGCACACATCGTAGCCACTGATTCCCCGCCATTGGAAAGATCACGACGGCACAATCACAGGATATCGATACAAGATAAGGAACGGAAACCCGAAAGCGAACAGGAGGCAAAGACTAGCGAACCGGGGAAGGCATTTCAACGCCTTTGACTGGATCGGAACTGGTGGGCAAAGAGTTCACCTTATGAGACTGGATTGGCGCCAACAAAAAAGTGACTGCCTAAGCCGGAGTCGTCACCCTCCGCACCAGCGTACGTCAACCAACAATCTGCCATTTCTTGTCCGAATGAATTTTGCATGCCTTAAGTCCGACCTCAATCCAGCTAAGGCTAGCTCGAAATTCTTTTTCCGGTACCTGGTGCGTCACACTATTGATCCAAGAAATATAAGGAGACCAGAATCCCGGTGAGGACCGAGTTTCAGCAGTGTATTTTCCAGATTATCAATTGGCAGCTGATGAGTATACTCATTTTGATTGCATAATTCGAGGGGGAGAATCCACTCGTTTTCCACAAAGCATTGGACAAGCCTGCGCCGAGGAAGATGCCCAGACAAACTGGCATCCAAAATCCGAACTACTGACGAGTCTCTGTGGAGCCCAAGCGAAGCGCGATAACGCTTTCAGCCTTTCAGACCGGGAGATTCCACTGCCGATCCACTACCGTGAAGTCGGTTTTACTCGTCGGTTTTTTGGCTTTTTTGCCAGCCCCGATGGATCGCCCCGATTAGTCAGAGGCTTAGCCTCACGTGGCAGTCCATTGGCTGACTCAGCTGATCCTGCATGTCCAAAGGAAACTGACGGATCCTAGCAAATTATTCACGAGAATAAAGCATCAAAGGTAAGGAGTTGATGGTTTCACTATCAGGAAGACAAATCGGTGTGTCTGTGTGTTAAGGTGATGGTGAAGAACTCCAGTACTGTTTCAGCGCTTCGTCTGCCAGCATCAATTGGATGGCTAGTAGTAGCGTGCATAGTACTATCTCTGAATATATATTTGGAGCTAAACACTGCTGCTGGATTGTGTGTATTCTGAGATCTATCACACACTTGATATGATCACGAATTGTATTGCTCTGAGTTCAATTGCGAAACCACTGAGAAAATATTCAGTGGCCGTATGAGAACATAAATAACAGTGTATAAGCGAAGCCGAAGAGGTGAAGATAGACGGGAGAAGGAGAAGAAGGTACTAGTACGTAGAGGAACCTGATCACCTGACCTTATAGATAGGTCACATCTGGAAGTGACCAACCATTGAAACCGGGACCATTCGAAAGATAATGCGGTCATTGAATGACACTTGTTAATCTTTTAAACGCCCGTCATCCCTTGCATTGCGACCCGCATCTCAATGTGCCAGAATGCAAGTGACGGGCCCGGGAAGAGGGCTAAACTTCCGGTAAGGAGGAACTACTACTTCCAAAAATACATTTCCCAGAACAAGAATTGGGATCTCTCCCATGTCCCACAAATGATGTTATCAATGATGAAAAGACCCCTTCTAATAGCAGAGCAACGTTGATCTACTCCTCTTCTCCTACCCAATCAATCTGACGTCGGGCCCTTCCGACCGCCGATCTTAGCGTCGATACTATGACGGCGACTCCCGATGCCCTTCTGGGGTACTTAGATAACAAATCATCACCTCATCCCGCTCTTCTCCTCTCGTTCCCCATCTATCAAACCACTCAATTCAACCATTCGGGCAGGTCCCCTACCTTCAATACTTCTTTCACACTGTACATTATTTCTTCTTGCAAATAACCCGAAAAAGAACATATACTTCCAACACACAACAATGCTGCCACCAACCCTTACCACCAGTCCACTCCTCAACCTCACCCCCGCTCCCCTCACTCCAGATGCCTTCTCCGATTTCGGCACAGCCATATCATCTCCTCTAGCTCGCAATATCACCACTCCTCCACCAGGGAGTACCCTGGAAACGCTATCGCCCGTCCCCGTCCTTGCCAATCAATCCTCTGCCCTGAAGTACAGCCCGATCGGTCCAATGACTGATAATTACTCCACCGCTCCGAGCGGCCAGCCCTCTTCCGCCCGCATGACTATGTTCTCGTGCTTTCCGCGCAAACTCCGCACTGTCGCCCATAAGAATGTGAATGTGTTTGACGTGCGCATTCTGGAAAGACACCCCTACACTACGCAAACTTTCACCCCAATTGATTTGTCGAGTCAGTTGAAGACGTCAGGCGCGGGAGGCGAGGTGGAGGAGGAGCCGTTCTACTTGGTTATTGTGGCGCCTTCCTTGAAGGGCACTACGGCTACTGCGAGGACGGACGATGGGAAGACTGTAAAGGTGGTTGATCCGCCGGATCTGAGTCGGTTGAGGGCCTTTGTGGCTAGGGGTGGTCAGGCTGTTACGTATGGGGCGGGAACGTGGCATGCGCCTATGGTGGTTATTGGGAAGAGGAGGGTGGATTTTGTGGTAGTGCAGTTTATGAATGGGGTTGGGGATGAGGATTGTCAGGAGGTGAGGTTTGGGGAGGGCATCGCTGTAGAAGTATCGGGCGAGGGAACTAAGAAGGCTCTGGCGAAGCTTTGAGAACGGTTGCAGTAAGGGTGGAAGCTTTTGCGGGGTATGTGGTTCATTGTACCTTCTTATCAAAATGGCTATTGTACATAGATTGTGAATGATATGACATTACTGATGGTATGGGCAGTTTCAGGCTCCCTTTGCTGTATGTTTTGGTGCCGAGTTCTCATCCCATTGTGGGCTGTTGTTGTGGTTAGAAAATCGTTGACGCACGCTCTTTGCCAGTTCAATGGCCTCCCTGGGTAGTCCGGCCAATTGAGCAACTTTCAATGCATGCGACTCGCGGTTTACACCTTTGCGTAGTCGATGGACGAATGAGAATGATCCAGAAGCGGATTCTTTGACATCGGTGCAGTATCTGCCGAGGGTGTCAAAGTTGTGAGTCATGTCGGCAAGGATATGGAAATGTGTCGCAAACAGTGTCCGGCATTTGTTGTGATAATGCAGGTGATGCAAGCATGCAAAACTGACGGCAGTTCCGTCTTCTGGCGTGGTCCCACGCCCGACCTCGTCCATGATGACAAACGAGCGCGAGGTTGCTTGTTTGAGAATAGCTGCTGTTTCCAGCATCTCCACCATGAATGTAGACTGGTCTCGGAACAGATCATCAGCGGCTCCGATGCGACTGAAGATCTGGTCAACCAAGCCAATCTCTGCGTACGCTGCAGGGACAAATGACCCGACCTGGGCTAGGATAGTGATGAGTGCGTTTTGTCGCAGAAATGTGCTTTTACCTGCCATGTTGGGACCGGTCACAAGCCATATACGCTCTGGGCCTCCGAGAAAGCAATCATTGCTGACAAACCGTCGGCCTTGCTCCTCGAGTCCAAGCTTGACTGTGGGATGACGTCCGCCCACAATCTTGTGACTCGTGCCTTCGTTGAGGATCGGGCGCACTAGTTGCTGTTCCTGTGCCAATGTGGCAAATGAGCATGCGACGTCGAGTTCGTCCATAACGGCTGCATTTCGTCGGATTTTGACAAGATTGAGGATGACCTCCCGTCGCAGATGCTCAAAGATCACTTGTTCTTCTTGACGGATCTGAGCCCTCACTTGATCTATCTGACCGCCTAGCTCTGTCCACGCTGGTAAGTAAAACGACCTCGTCGACTTGGTGGCCGAGACATTTCGTGTTACTCCAAGTTCCTCCAATGATTCTTGGGTGATTTTAGCCCCCTTGACATGGCATATGTGACCCAATCCCGGAGTCCACTTGAGTGTTAGCGCAGATGAACCCACCGACTCGCGGAGACGCTGTGTTAGCTCTGATTTTGCTGTGTGTAATTGCTCTAACTCCTGATGAAGTTCACTTAAAGCTTGGCTTGCATCTCGTCTCATGATCCAGGTATCGGCAATCGTCCCCTCATCCGCAGCTGCGTTAGATCGATCACTACTTTTTGTCTTGACTTTCTTCGGTAGTGCAGCCATGTCCTCTGGTATACCCTCATTCAGAGTGACAGACTGTGCTAGAAGTGCTGCCTCTGCAGCTGTGTCGTCTTCAATGCGCTGCTTCTGCAGCAGACCCTCCTCGTCAATTGCTGCCAGGATTTTGTCAGCTAAGACTGTAGGCCCATCCATGTGAATTCGGTCGACCATAATTCCAATGCTGCGCTTGGTTTGACTATCAATCTCGCTATGCCACTTCCTTGATAGAACTTGTCGGATTTCTTTAGAGGCTTCAATTGCCCTTGAAAGACAGATCAAATCATCAGGGTCACCCCGACCAAGTGTGAATTTCTGAACTAGACGTTGGGCATCATAACTGCGTTTGAGAAACTGAATCACATTGTCGTGCAGATCACGGTCTTCGATGAATATCGAAACAAGGTCAAGCCGTTCGTTGATTATCGATAGAGAAGTGGAAGGCGACGCTGCCACAATGTTAGACTTTGGAGAATGGTCAAGAGAGATTATTAGGCATACTTAAACGGTCTCTCAGCAAACGTGCTCCGCTCTTGGTAGAGGTCCGCCGCACTGCATGAAGTAGGCTTCCTTTCCCAAAGCCATCACGGGCAGTCTCCAGTATTTCTAGACCTCTCAAGCTATTGCGGTCAATGCTCATTGACTCGTCCAAGTGTCGGCGACGAGGAGGCTGAAGCTTCATATTCAAGCCTTGCAATTGAACCCGGATATACTCCAAGAGACTGTACCCGGCGGCAACTTCTTCACGCGTAAACGTTTCTGCGGCGGCGTCTAATACAGGGGCTTCAAGCATAGCTTCCCATCGGGCCATGGGCGCAACCTTTTTCGGAAATTGGAAGAAAGTCATCAATCGTTGGTCGTGTCCAATCAATAACTGCAGCTCCTGTCCGACTACATCCTGGAGACCTTGGTCCACGAGTATCTCTCGGGCGCCAATCCTGGCGATAGCAGACGGTAGCATCTGTGCTGTAGTTACTTGCGTAAAGAAGTCGCCTGTGGAGAGGTCCAACCAGGACAAGCCTACGTTTTGGGATGCGGATAATAGGACGTGCTGTTGCGAGGATGAGGCATCCTGTTGCTTCAACTGCTCCTTCAGCGAAGATTTATCAATGTAGACTGCCAACAAAAAGTTATTTTCGGAAGGATCCATGAACTTCTCATCGATTAATGTGCCAGGTGTGATGATTCTGGCCACCTTACGATCGAAGAGAAGACCGCCGGATCGGAGCTTGTCTTCTGCGGCATTCGGAAATTCCTCGCTGACAGCCACATACTTGTTCAGATCCTGAACAAGAATCTTTAGGAAACGGTCTAGCTGGAAGAAGGGAAAACCAGCCATAGGAACAGGGCCGGCACTGGTCTTTTTGGAGGCAAGCTTAAGGTTGAGCAACGGGGCGAACTCTTCAGCTTGCTCAAAATAGAGCTAGGATAAGGTTAGGGATACTCTCAGAAAATCTGTACTCCACGGATTTAGAAGGAGTATAAAGCTGGTAGTCATACCTCGTAGAAGCCGCCTACTCTAGTTAAGATCACGCAATTTTTGAACTTCTGCATATTGTTCCAATGTCCTTGGACAACAGCCGGATATTTGGGGGCGTCATCCACCACCTCCTGATAAGGCTGCAGCTTCAAAGCCCCCTGGGGCAGATCTTTCAACTTTACAGTAGTCTTCGTTTTGGCGCCTCGCAGCGGCACCGAGTAACAAGTTACCTTGGGGAGAAGCGTGGACGGTCGCCGGGCATGATGGCAGATGGTCCTGTGTACATGGCAACGATATGGTGGGAATATGTCAGGTCTAGCAATTGAACGGGCTTGGGACTGACATAGGTAGGTCATATGTAGTCCATGAGCGCGCATCATCCCGAAACAGCGCGTTATCTTCGGCGCGTTGAGAGAAAGGGAACAAGCAACTATACAATGTGATGACAGGCCGAGAAGCGCGGCAGAAAAGCGGCGAGCGGGTGTATACCTCAGGCTCCCGCTCGCCAAACCTTCCCGCCTTGCCACGCAAATCTGCTTGACAAGAACTTCCCGCGACCTCTCTAACGCAACTCACTCAAACTCCTCCAATTCCTCCCAAGCAGCTTGCAACCTTGCGCCGACCCCTTTGCTTGTTTGCTGCCGGAGGATGGTCCAGGTTTGTGAAGCCTTTTAGGATCCCATACTGTCACGAAATTCATTACTTGTCGCAGGTGTCTCGACGCGCCGGCTGAACCTGAGCTCCACCGAGCCCAGTCGACACATTACCGTCGCAGCACGTTCGCTTTACCATTTGTTCTATTGTTTTTTGTTATAATATACCATCAAAATGGCGGACCAGAATATTTCTCAATATAAGTACTCGGCGATGTCCAACCTGGTTCTCCAGGCGGACCGTCGTTTTATCTCTCGCGTCAACGATGAACCCACCGGAGACCCAGAGTCGCTCGCTGGTCGCATAAGTATCCGGGAGATGGGCGGCAGGATGGCGCGTGATGATGCGCCTAAGACGAAGAAAAAGACTATCGGCCCGACGGACATTGAACGCGGTGCGATTCGAGAGGGTGAGGACGTGCTTGCCCGTGAACAGAGGAAGACCCAACGGGGTCAACCGGCACAACTACGAGGCCAGGGGATTCTCTCTGCCGCAGATGCCCTCATTGAGGGCCTCAAGTACCGTCCCCGCACGCCTGCCACCCGAGCTACCTACGACCTTATTCTCACCATGACCGCGACCCACCTTGGCGACGTCCCCCACGAAGTGGTCCGAAGTGCCGCTGATGCAGTGTTGGAATTGCTGAAGGATGAAGAGATGAAGGACTTCGACAAGAAGAAGGAGATCGATGACCTGCTCGGAAGCTCGATGAACCCCAAGGAGTTCAATGAGCTCGTCAACCTCGGCAAGAAGATTACGGACTACGACGCGCAGGACGAAGATGAAGAAATGGGCGAAGGTTTGGAAGGTGAAGGTGAAGGCGAACTGGATGAGCGCCAAGGTGTTGCCGTCGTTTTCGATGAGGAGGATGAGGACGACGAGCGCATGGGTACTGTGGATGAGATACGCGATGACGACGAACTCTCGGAGGACGAAGAGGCCGATCAACAAGAAGCTACAGGAATCGACGAGACAACCACTGAGAAGGCGGATCTCGATGGTCTTGAGGAGGCCGAAGAGATGGTAATAGATGGTGGCCTGGGTCGGGATACAGATCGACGAGACAAGGGATCAACGGTACCTGCCCGGGAGATCGATGCCTATTGGCTTCAGCGTCAAATTGGTGCCGCATACTCCGATGCCCACATACAGCATGAAAAGGCTACACAAGCACTTGAGATCCTTGGTGGTCAGGGCGAGGATGGCGCGGAGCGGCCGCTACGTGATGTTGAAAACGACCTGATGGAATTGTTCGACTACGAGAACCCCGACCTTGTCGCCAAATTGGTCACCAACCGGGATAAGATCGTTTGGGTCACTCGCTGGCGTCGAGTGGCCGAAGACGCAGACGCCCGCCACCTGGTAGAGAGTGAGATGGTCGAGGCTGGACATCGCCAGATTCTGGACGAGATCCGGGGTAAATCGACTCGTTCCGAAGGTGCAGGTCGACCAGAGAAGAAGATCAAACTGGATTTGATGGACGTCGATGTCCCAAGTGCACCTCAACAACCCGAGGAGAAGCCTACAGAGGGAGGGCTGGTGAGGGGCTTGCAGCCCAAGAGGCTGATCAACCTGGAAAACCTCGTCTTCCACCAGGGCAACCACTTGATGACGAATCCTAACGTTAAGCTACCACAGGGCTCTACGAAGCGGACGTTCAAGGGCTATGAGGAGATTCATGTGCCCCCTCCGCAGGCAAAGAGAGAGCCAGGGGAGAAGAACATCCCTGCTACCGAACTGCCCGAGTGGGCTCGTGTCGGCTTTGGTAGTGCGAAGGAGCTCAATCGGGTCCAGTCCAAGTGCTTCCCATCTGCGTTCCATGACGATGGAAACATGCTCGTCTGTGCTCCCACAGGATCAGGAAAGACGAATGTTGCCATGCTCACCATCCTCCGCGAAATCGGAAAGAACCGCAACCCCGAAACCGGTGAGATTATGTTGGATGACTTCAAGATCATCTACATCTCCCCGTTGAAGGCGCTGGTTCAGGAACAAGTCGGAAACCTCGGCAAGCGACTGGAGCCGTATGGCATCAAGGTTGCTGAACTCAGTGGTGATCGCCAGCTCACCAAACAGCAAATTGCTGAAACACAGATTATTGTGACCACCCCCGAGAAGTTTGATGTCATTACAAGAAAGGCGTCGGAAACGAGCTACACAAGGCTCGTTCGTCTTGTTGTTATCGATGAAATCCACCTTCTTCACGACGACCGTGGTCCTGTCATCGAGAGCATCGTCAGCAGAACGATTCGCAAGGTCGAACAGACCGGTGACCCTGTACGAATTGTTGGTCTCAGTGCTACCCTGCCCAACTACCGTGACGTTGCAAGCTTCTTGCGCGTTGATCCCCTCAAGGGTCTCTTCCATTTCGACGGGTCTTATAGGCCATGCCCGCTGAAGCAGGAGTTCATTGGTGTTACCGACAAGAAGGCTATCAAGCAGCTGAAGACGATGAACGATATTTGCTATAAGAAGGTGCTTGAGCAGGTTGGACAACGGAGGAATCAGATGCTCATCTTCGTTCACTCCCGAAAGGAGACCGCCAAAACCGCCAAGTACATCAGAGACAAGGCTCTTGAGATGGAGACCATTGGTCAGATCCTGCGGAGCGATGCTGCCAGTAGAGCCATTTTGGCCGAAGAAGCCGAGACCGTGGACGATCCCTCCCTTAAAGATCTTCTGCCTTACGGCCTCGGTATTCACCATGCTGGTCTCAGTCTTGCGGATCGTGATTCAGTTCAGGCCCTTTTCAGTGATGGTAGCATTCAAGTCCTTGTGTGCACGGCAACTCTCGCCTGGGGTGTCAACCTGCCTGCTCATACCGTCATCATCAAGGGTACCCAGATCTATTCGCCTGAGAAGGGTAGCTGGGTTGAACTTAGTCCTCAGGATGTTCTCCAGATGTTGGGACGAGCTGGACGACCTCAGTACGACACATTCGGTGAGGGTATTATCATTACCTCGCAGACCGAGATTCAGTATTATCTGTCGCTTATGAACCAGCAGCTGCCGATCGAGAGTCAGCTTATGAGTAAACTTGCGGATAATATGAACGCTGAGATCGTTCTTGGCAATATTCGCACGCGCGACGAGGGTGTTGATTGGCTAGGATACACTTATCTGTTCGTCCGTATGCTTCGCTCACCCGGGTTGTACAGCGTTGGCGCCGATTATGAGGACGACGAGGCACTGGAGCAGAAGCGTGTCGATCTTGTCCACTCTGCAGCAGTCATCTTGGAACGGGCAGGCCTTGTCAAGTATGACAAGAAGACGGGACGCCTGCAGTCGACTGAGCTTGGACGCATCGCCTCTCATTACTACATTGGCCACAACTCCATGTTGACGTACTCTCAGCACATCCAGCCCTCTATCACACCCATCGAACTCTTCCGTATTTTCGCCTTGAGTGACGAATTCAAGTACATTCCAGTCCGTCAAGATGAAAAGCTCGAGCTTGCCAAGTTGTTGGGACGTGTACCTGTTCCCGTCAAGGAGGGCATCGACGAGCCTCACTCGAAGATCAATGTTCTACTGCAGGCCTATATCTCCAGACTCAAGCTTGAGGGACTGGCGCTTATGGCAGATATGGTTTATGTCACACAGTCGGCTGGTCGTATCCTACGCGCCCTCTTTGAGATATCCCTGAAGAAGGGCTGGTCATCTGTGGCCAAGACGGCTCTCAACCTCTGTAAGATGGCTGAGCGACGGATGTGGCCGACGATGACGCCGCTGCGTCAATTCCCAACCTGTCCTAGGGACATCCTGCAAAAGGCTGAAAGAATCGATGTGCCATGGGCTAGTTACTTCGACCTTGATCCTCCTCGCATGGGTGAGCTTCTCGGTATGCCGAAGGCCGGTCGTGTCGTCTGCGACCTCGTTTCCAAATTCCCTCGCTTGGAAGTTCAAGCACAGGTCCAGCCTGTCACTCGTTCTATGCTCCGGGTTGAGTTGACCATCACCCCCAACTTTGTCTGGGACGAGGCACTCCATGGTAACGCGCAGGACTTCTGGATCTTGGTCGAGGATTGCGATGGAGAGGAAATTCTATTCCATGATCAGTTCCTTCTCCGGGGAGACATTGCACAGTCCGAGATGAACGAGCACCTCGTCGAATTTACTGTTCCGATCACCGAACCCATGCCCCCCAACTACTTCATCTCGCTCGTTTCGGACCGTTGGATGCACTCGGAAACGAAGATCGCTGTTTCTTTCCAGAAGCTCATTCTTCCAGAGCGCTTCCCCCCGCACACTCCTCTTTTGGATATGCAACGCGCCCCCGTCAAGGCATTGAAGCGCGATGAATACCAGCAACTGTACCCTGAATGGCAATACTTCAACAAGATCCAAACACAGACCTTCAAGTCCCTGTTCGATACGGATGACAATGTCTTTATCGGTGCTCCTACCGGCAGTGGCAAGACTGTTTGCGCAGAACTTGCGCTGCTTCGTCATTGGGCTCAGGAAGACAGTGGCAGGGCCGTTTACATTGCCCCGTTCCAGGAATTGGTTGACCAACGTCTTGCCGACTGGGAGAAGCGACTGAGCAACATCGCCGGCGGAAAGACTATTGTGAAGCTTACTGGAGAGACGACTGCCGACCTCAGGCTTTTAGAACGTGCCGATCTTGTCCTTGCCACCCCTACTCAATGGGATGTCTTGTCCAGACAGTGGCGGAAGCGCAAGAACGTCCGGGCAGTGCAGCTTTTCATCGCCGATGAGATCCAAA